AAAAAAAAAAAAATGTCTTCCCCATTTCTCATTAAAAGGAAATAAGAACAAGGCACTTCTAGACCTCGGGCCTCCTGTCCTTCCTCTTTACAGGGAGAGGTGAGACCAGATACCCACTGAAGTTCTTTAAGCTGGTATTCATTTAACTCAATTCTTTTTAAAAAATATATTAGCCTGAAAGGGAGAAAAAAAAAAAAAAAAACATGGAAAAGAACATCAAATTCTCAAAGAATCCAGATTTACTGAATCCACTGAGAAACTAGCCCTTGAAATCACCTTTTGACTAAAAGGCAAGTTAGCTCAAAAAGTAATAATTTCACCCTTGAGAACTACACTTTTAAAAAATAATAATTTACTTTGTTGTTGCTCTTGTTGAGAATGTGTACAGCAAGAACCAATTTAACACTTTCTATAGGGGTCGTCCGACTCGACAGCACACAACAACAAACAACAACGTATGTATAACTCAGTGACACTGGTTACATTCTTTGAGTTGTACAACCATTTTCACCCATCTCTTCTGAGTTGTTCCTCCCTCTTTAACATAAACTCACTGTCCCATAAGGTTCCTACCTAATCTTTCAAGTTGCTATCGTCAGTTTGGTCCCATATACCTTGATCTTAGAAGACCGCAATGCTCAAGGCAGACATTCTTTACTAATTAAGCTAAAGCACTGTTTGGTTTTAAGAAGACTCCTGGGTTTTGTTTGTTTTTTAATTTTTTATTGTGATTTGGGTGCAAAATTATAAAGCAGATTCGTTTTGTACTAATAGTTCATACACATTTTGCTTCACAGCAATTACAATCCACACAATGGAACAGTTCTCCTTCCACCTCGTTCCTGTAGTTTCCCTTTCCCTGTGTCCTGCTTACCTATGCATTCCTGTGCACCTAGCTTTCCCCCTATGCAAATGCTGCTCTTCCGATCTCATGGTTGACTGTTCCAATGGGTGCATTTCCCCGGGGTAGGTGTTCAGCTCACAGACCTTTCTACTGCTCCGCTGAGAACTAACACATGGGGGTTGAGTCCAATTCCAGGCCCAAAGAGTAACCCGCAGCCATAGTTTTAATGTTTTCACCAATCTCTATCCAACCAGTAATTTTGGTCATTTTTGTATTTTTGAGTTTTGTTCCACATTTGTCCTCCCACTCTATCCAGGATCTCCCATTTTGATCCCTTTGTGAGTGGTTGGCATTGGTAGCCAGGCCCCATCTAGTTCTTCTCGTCTCAGGGTCATGTAGGCTGAAGTTCCCATGGTCCATTAATCCCATATATCCTTGATTTTCTTCATTCTTCTTTGCTGTTTACGAGGAGAGACCAACAGTTGCATCTTAGGTAGCTGCTGTGAGCTTTTAAGACCTTCACAGGATATTTTTGGTTTAAGGTTTAAAGATTATCTCAAGCCAGTAATTCAGGGGTTCATCCACCCTCCTTGGCTCCAGAAAAGCTGGGTTCCATGATAATTTGAAATTCTGTTCTTCATTTTCCATTTTGATCAAGACGCTTGAGAACTGTGCTGTTTTAAAAATTATCCATGAGACTAAATGGACATGGACAACAGTTACTTTAAAGCATAAATGAGAAGTTTGGGGGCAGGGAGACTAAGTTAATGGCAGTGGAACAACTAGAAAGGAAATAATGAGAATGTGGACACAAACTGGAGAATGTAACCAATGTCACTGAACGTTCCGTGTAGAAATTGTTGAATGGGAACCTATTTTGCTATATATACTTTGAGCAAAAATATATAAAAATAAATATAAAAATACTTTAACCAAAAATACAAAAAAAAATTATATATATATATGTATATATATATATATATATACACATACATAAATACATACATATATACACACCCACACACATACATGCCTAATATGAGACACAGGCTAAAAGTAGATATGTTTATTTGGGTGTTGTTACTGTTAGGTGCCATCAAGTCATCTCTGACTCATAGTGACCTTATGCACAGCAGAATGAAACACTACCCAGTCCTGCACCAGCTCCATGATCCTTGCTGTACTTGAGCCCATCGCTGCTGCCACCATGTCAATCCATCTCTTTGAGGGCCCTCCCCTCTTTCATCGACCCTCCACCTTACTAAGCATGACATCCTTCTCCAGGGAATGGTCCCTTCTGACATGACCACAATATGTGAGACAAAGTCTGGCCATTCTCGCCTCCAAGGAGCATTCCGGCTGCACTTTCTCCAGGACAGACCCGTTAGTTCTTATAGCAGTCCACAGTACTTTCAGCATTCTTCACCAACACCACAATTCAAAAGCATCAACTCTTCTTCAGTCTTCCCTATTCATTGTCCACAGCTCACATGCATATGAGGTGATTGAAAATACCATGGCTTGGGTCAGGCGCACCTTAGTCCTCAAGGAGACATCTTTGCTCTTCAGCACTTGAAAGAGGTCCTTGCAGCCGATTTGCCCAGTGCTATACATTGTCTGATGTCCTGACTGCTGCTTCCATTGGTGTTGATTGTAGAACCAAGCCATGTGAAGTCTTTGACAACTTCAATATTTTCTCCATTTATCATGATGCTGCTTACAGATCCCGTTGTGAGGATTTTTGTTTTTTTTATATTGAGATGTAATCGATACTGCAGACTGTATTCTTCAATCTTCATCAGTAAGTGCTTCAAGTCATCCTCACTTTCAGCAAACAAAGTTGTGTCATCTGTGTATCACAGGTTGCTAATGATTCTTCCTCCAACCCTGATGTCATGTTCTTCTTCATATAGTCCAGCTTTGGTCAGTTGTTTTAAAGTCATTAAATAATGCATTATGGTTCTTGTACTCTAGGAAGAGTTTTGCAGTAACAATAACCACTTTTCAGTTAGAATGCATTATAAATTTGATGTCAAAGAATGTATGTCACCATTAATTTACATAGAGTCTGTACACATCTGAATATCCACTGCAAACACTAAGTATGAAAGTCACTTCCCTTTGGTTAAAAGGTATAATGCATTCAGCTCTGTGTGAAAGTAATTACCAAAATAAATCTCAGAGCTATAGTCTCCAGCCTACCAGCAGGTGTCACAATAGTCTGGGACAAAAGGGATGAGATAACTTTCACTTGCAAGAAAAGTCTGCACAGCCTCTCAAGGGAAAGTCACCACTGGTTGAGTACATCAAACGGACAGATACACAGACAAACAGGGATACGATCATGAGAGAGAAAACAGGTAAGGTAGAAAGATGGCTAGATAAAAGAGATTAAATACATAAATCTGATTAGAGAAATATATAAAATAGACTACAGAAATATATACATAACTAGATATAGAGAGCTATATAGTTATATAGAGAGGAAATAAAAAGATACACAGAAGAATGATAAATAAATAAGAGCTAGATAGGCAAATAAATTAAATAGAGTAGATAAATAGAGAAATGAATTAGAAAGAGAGATGAATAAAATAAATAAATTAGAGATTGAACAGCTAGACAGAATAAAAAGCTAGAGAGCTTAGTTATATTAAACACCTACACTGATTAGATAGATGTAAATATGGTATATATAAACTTCCAGTTGGTTACCTGATTTCATAATTACCATTACCCTGAGAGGGAAATATTTCACCCCCATTGTACAGGTGGAAAAACAAATCCCGAGAAAGTGAACCTATAGGTGCTTTTGACATAGGTGTTTTACATGCATTAGTTCACATAATCCTCGTAACTACCCACAACATATTTTACAGGCGAGAAAATGGTCCCAGAAAGGTACAGCAATTGGCCTAAGATTATACCAGTGATGAAGTCAGAATTCTGACTGCAAAGTCCAGGACCTCCCCTCTGTATCACAGAATCACCACATTAAGTAGTCACATTCAGAATTCTGATTGGCATGTTAAACTGAAACAGTTGGTACCTACCTGTTAATGAAGCTGAGTGATGTGAGCCAGCAAGAACACATCTTACTTTAAAATTCTCTAGGCCTACCAAAACAAAAACAAAAAATCTTTTGAAATTACATTCACAGCAGAACAAGCTGGACAGAGAGGGGACTCTCAGTCAGCACTAACAGGACAGGGGAGAAACACTCAGCCAGTTACAGGCAGGCTTGAGTCAGCAGCACCTGGCCAAGACATGGCTGACACGGTTGGGAGACTGGACAAATGAGTGAAGATACAGAGGATAAGGGCACCAGACACATAAGTAAATACAGAGAGGATAAGGGAGCCAGGTTTGTCACTATCAGAGAGAAGAGAGGAATGAATATAAAAAGGGGAAAGGCTAGAATTAACCATGTAATGTTGTTGTTGTTGTTGTTATGTGCCATGTAATAGTGGATTATAATTGGAGATATCAGTATAAATTCCTGGTTGATCATGTAGAGAGGTACATAAATAAAGGTGCATGCATGTATAAATATTGGTATGTATGTGTATGCAGTGATGGTGGTGGTGGTGGTAGCCACTGCTGAGTCTATTTGACTAGCTCCATCCACAGAGTGGGCTTAGAAGCAATGACATCTCATACATTCAGCTCCTTTCATGTGTAGTCACTTAAATACAAACTTAGGCCTCCTAAAAACACACATGCAAAACCAGAATGTGAACTGGCCTTACATCTACAAGTCCAGTACTTTCCTTCCCTGAATCACATGACCTTCGCTGACAAAGTATAATCCAAATTCACCCTGGCTGGAAGTTTTGGTAACCTGCAGAGAAACGCAATCTTATTTGGTAACTCTCTTCTCTGACACTTCTATTTAATCGACTAGTGTCTTAATAAAACAGCCCTTACACCCACAAGTGTCCTGTGGAATGACAAAGGAACAGAGCAGATATCCCCAGGCATATTCACCAGAGAGGAAGTATGGCCTCTAGTGGCCAGATGAGGAGGGAAGAACCAGAGCCCCAGCTCTAGTTCCAGATAAGGTGAAGATGAGAGAATGAAAAGAGAGACTCCCCAAAATCAACTCTCAATATGCTGTGTCCCCAAGCAGACCCCAACAGGTTATTTCAATCAAATCAAATAAAAATCTGTTTTTCATTTCTTCTAGTTACAGGTCCTGTTCTAAAATACAGAGTAGAATAATGCATATTTCCTGCCCTTACAAAGCACATAATCTTTGCCATGTGGGAAAATATATAAATAATAATAATACAATAAATGCTATCCAAGCACATGAAGAAAATGCAAAAGGCTAAAAGAGGGAAGTCTTTACTGAGAAAGCCATATCTGAGCTAGGCCTTGAAACATTCTCAGGATCTTCCCAGGGAGAACAGGAAGGAAAGGTCATTTAAGGCAGAGGTAACAGTCTGCACAAAGGCACAGAGAAATGAGTATGCAGGATACATCCAGAATACCTGAGTGTGGCAGGAAAAATGTTTGGGAAGTATGCATTCATATTATGAATGTCTTCAAAGTCATGTGAAGTGGAGAGCCTGTCTGGCATCTAGTGTTCCTTTCCCTTTTCCTAAGAGTATCCTCCCCTGCTGGACCAGTGAGCTTCAAGGAAGTTAAGCCCACCCCCAGCTAAAGGAGAGAGCCTCCAAGGCTCAGAAAAATCAGTGATCTCAACCCCCTTGTATATCACTTTCACTACACCTACACTTTCCCTTTTCTCCCTCCTACCTTTGCTCTAAACCCACTGCTGTCCACCAACTCACAGAAACCCTACAGGACAGGGTAGAATTTCCCCACAGGGTTTCCAAGACTGTAAATCTTTACAAAAGCAGACTGCCACATTGTTCTCCTGTGGAGTGGAGTGGCTGGTAAGTTTGAACCAACAACATTATAGTTGGCAGTCAAGTGCTTTAACCACTGCACCACCAGAGCTTCTTCCCCTTCTCCCCTTGCTACTACTCTTTAAAACTCCTCCTTTGTTCTGAGCTAGAAGAAGGTGGTTAGAGGTATCCTGTACTGGTTTTTCTCATAGCCAATCCCCAGTAAACTGAATCACAAAACAAGAGAGTGAGAGAGGAAGAGAGGAAGAAGAAGAGGGACATGGAGGTATCCACACAGAGAGAAAGACAGTACAGAGAAGAGGGGAGATGACACAGAGACAAAGAGTAGAGAGAGGGAATAAGACTTTGGGTGAAAGTGAGAGTGTGGGAAAGAGAGGAACAGAAAAAACCTTACAGACCAATTCCCCAACAAAAGATTATCCAACAGACTTGGACAGAACACCTATTATCTAATTCTCGTGTTCCCATGTAGACAGATTTCCTACAGGAGCAAGCTTGGCCCCTCACTCTTCATCCTCACCCCTTCTTGCTTCCCTTTTGGGAGAAGGAACTGAGTGTGTAAGACACAGCCTTTCTGGGTCCTCCTTTTGGGATGTGTCTGCCTGCAGAGAGGTGCATCCCCATGTGCTTGCAGCAAGGCAGTAAGCTTAAAGGGCAGATTCCATGCAACTGCTCCAGCACTGGTGGGTAAGTTTAATTTGGAATTCAGAATTTAGAGGCTTACTATTGCTATACATTATCTCTACACATTATCTCCAACCCAGCTTTTAACAACCCCAAGGCTACTCTTCTGCTCTCCACCTACCTGACTTGGATCTATCTGTCAATGGGTTCCAAACTCTGGCAGCAAAGAAAGGTTCTTTAATTGTTATTGTTGTTGTTACCTGCCATTGAGTCGGACCTGATTCATAGCGACCACTCCTTGGGTTTCCAAGGCAGTAGCACTAAGGAAGTAGATTGCCCAACCTTCCTTTCGAGGAGTGGCTGGTGGGTTTGAGACACCAGCCTTCTGGTTAGCAGCCAAGTACTTTAAGCACTATGCTACCAGAGCTCCTGGTTCTTTTATTAGGCCACCAAAATTCCCAACAAGACTAACAAACCAGACGAGTTAAACAGAGAGACCAAGAAACAATAAAAGCAAAAATCCATCTACCGATTTTCTGCATGCCTGTGTCTCTACTTCCTGACAAAGAATAAATATAGGACTCAGAAGAAAAAAGGGTCTCACCTGTCACTCTGCTCGGTTCCTTTGCCGTCAAAAACAACGGGAGAGTCTGCCCAGGGTACAATCGCCGTCCACATGATGCCAAACCAGTGCCCCACTGGAACACAATGCCACTTGCTTCCCAAGGGAGGAAAGGAGAAAATGCACATTAGTACGAAACCAGGCTGCTCTTTGAACCTTACTGCTATGGGAGATTTCCAATTCATTCTCAGTTTACATGAGTATTGTGGAAAAGCTCATTGTTTCAAGGGGTTCCTGTGACTAGTCAGAGGAATTACCAAGAAGAAAATTAAAAATCTAGTCTATAATCAGATGTGTACAACTAGGACACGTCACCCAACAGCAAGAAGGGCAATCTAAAATTCCAACCTAACTGACTCCTCCAGAGTCAAATCACTGGAATGCCACCTCGTTCACGTTGACAATGAAAGGACAACACAGACTCCACTTCGAGCTGTAAAGAACCTTGAAGATCATCAAGACCCATTTTGCACATTTATTAGATGAGGAAACTGAAGCCTTGAAGAAAGGATGTGATTTGTCCAAGGTCACAAAGGGAGTTATTAGCAGAGAAAATACTAGGACTCAGTTTTCGTTGTCTGCAGTCAATGTTTATAATCTGGGGATTTTCTGTAAGCCAAAAACCGAAACTCAGATACCCTTCAATGAGTGAACAGTGAAATAAACATGAAATACTATTCAGCAACGAAAAGGAAAAAAATTACTGATACACAAAATTTGAATGGATCTCCAGGAAATTATGCTGAATGAAAAAAGCCAACCCCAAAATGTTACATACTGTATGATTTCATTTATATAACACTCTTGAAATGACAAAATTATAGAGATGAAGAAAAGATGAGTGTTTCCCAGGGACTAAGAAGGGGGTAGAAGGGAAATGGGTGTGACTACAAAGTGATGTTCTGTTTCTTGACTCTATCAATGTCCATATCGTGGTTGTGACAAGGCACTATAGTTTTGCAAGATGCTACCACTGAAATAAACTAAAAAATGGGGATTAGGGATCTCTCAGTATCATTTCTTACAACTATACATGAATCTATAGTATCTTAAAACATTTAATTTAAAAAAAAAAGTGTAATAAAGACTAACCCCCAGGAGACCATTAGCACAGTGCTGCAACGGACTTTTCCTCACCTCCTCTCTCCACTCTGCTCCTGGACTCACCAAATACTTGGGCCTCAGCAACCACAGCCAATTAGTGCTATCCTTCAGCCCACCAGGAGTGAGAGCAGAAAAATCAGGAAGGAAGAGAAAAAAGCGTCACTGCTCTTCCACATATCACCTCCCCTATTCTCCTCCCCACCCTCAACCACACAGGCACCATCGCCCCAGCTCATCACCGTATTTGTGGTACAGAAGATAAGTTCACGTGAAGCTTTCAAATAGGCATTAAACATTAAAATAGAATAAATACCAAAATCAATTAGGAAGGCAGCCAAGTTCACTACAAAGATGTGGGTCCTGGAATCCAGGAAATCCAGATCTTCCCATACTCTGATCCCAGCTCTATCTCTGACTACACTCTCTGTGTAACTTACACAGTGCTTTAACCTTTCTTGACCTCAGTTTCCTCATGTGTAAAAACTGAACACACATCACAGCATGGCTGTAAGGAGTAAACAAAGTTAAAGAAATCAAGAGAACCTAGCACCATGCCTAGACCATAAAAAAGAGCTAGAGAAGTTCATTTCCTCCCTCCCTGCTCTCCCACATGACTCCTGCCTTATGCCCTCTCCTTTTAAATCAGAACTGCAATACAATAGGACACTTTAAGGAATTACACCTTAAAGCTTATTTCTCCTGAAGCTCAGTCTCTCCTTATTATGTTCCTATTTAGGAAACAAAAGCAAAATGATCACCTGTAGCAGCTAATGCATGCCTCAGTCCAGCAGCAACATACACAACCTTCTCTCTTAGGAGCTGTCAAGAGACAAAGAAGTTAGATCTTAGAATCATCGAGCCACAAAATTTTGTTTTTTATGCCCAAATAAAAAGTAGCATGGTCCCCATTATGAGTCTGATTAATATAAAGGGTTGGGGTTTTTTTCTCCCTATTTTATCCATAAATACGTCTATATGTATCCTTTTAAAAAAAAAAAAAAAAACCTTTTTAAAAGCATAACTACAGTACCATATTACAATGCCTCCCAGGGCTAGGATGGACTTTCAAGGTCATCCAACCCACGGCTGGCAAACTTTTTCTGTAAAGGCCAGAGAGTAAAGATTTTAGGTTGTAGGTCATATGGTTCCAGTCACCACTACTCAACTCTCCACTGTAGCCTAAAAGCAGCCACAAAATGGGTGTGACTATGTTGCAATATAACCTTAGTTACCAAGGGCTTCATTTTGCCAACCCCTGATCTAGTCCAATCCCCAGCCACTGCTAAACCCCACCACAACACCATACCAAGTGATCATCCAACCCCTTCCAAATACCTAGCTACAGCAATACAAGGCTTACCACCTCTCCAGATGTCTTTTCCATCTTTGCACAATTGCATTTATCTCTTTAGTGGAGACAACCTGTCTGTCTATAGCTTTCCAAGACATCTTGTGGTGGTTTTAAAAATACAGCCTCAAATCTTTAATCTCCTCCCTTTAAGATGGGGAGCTTAATCCATCCCCAAACCCCCTTGAGTGTGCATTAGTGACTCATTTCCAATGAACACAATAAGGATGTATGACTGAGAGACAAAGTGATAAAAGGCACTGAGGCTGCATGTGTGGACCTCTCTTTTGGACCACACTTTAGGGAAAACCAGCTGCCATGTCTGAAAAGTTGTATGGAGAGACCCATAGGCAAGGATCTCAGCCTCCTGTCAACATCCACATGAGAGCTTGAAAGTGGATCCTCTAGGCCAGCTGAGCCTTCAGTACAATGTGTGTAGCCCCAGCTGACATCTTGACTACAACCTCATGAGACCAGCTAAGCTGTTCAGATTCTTGACCCTCAGAAACTGCGTGAGATAATAAATGTTTGCTGTTATAAGCTACCAAGTTTTGGAGTAATTTATTACACAGCAATAGGTAAGGAACATATATCTGCTTCTTTAGGCCAAACATTCACAACTATATCGCTTATCACCCTCATGGTGCCATGGTTTCAAATCTCAATATCCCAGTTTCTTTCCCCTAAATATGCTCTAGTTGGTCAATCTCTTTCTTTTAAAGGAACTGTACATGCATCAATCACAGTCCCTATAGGGCTTTATCACACTTCTTTGTTTACAGTTCCACAGTATCTTATATGATCCCATTTATGCAATCTGTCCATAGGCATAATCCATAGAGACAGGAAGAAGATTAGTGGTTGTCTGGGGCTGGGGGGTGGCGAAATGTGAACTGACTGCTGATGGGTATGGGGTTTCCTTTGGTGGTGATGAAATTACTGTATTTTTCACAAATAATGTGCCCATCCATATAACACACATAGCACACCTTGGGAAAAAACATACATGGGGACATGGTTGGCAAAATGTGTAACACCATGCGATCCTCAGCCTATATGACTATGAGACCAGAAGAACTAGATGGTACCCAGCTACTGCTATCAGCCACCCGGAGGGGGATCTATGTAGGAGATCCTGGATAGACAGGGAGAACAATGTGGAACAAAACTCAAAATCATTTGGGGGGGAAAAAAAAAGACTAGGTTTGCTGGTCTGATAGAGACTGGTGGAACCACTGAGACTATGGCCCCTCGCTGCCCTTCAGGTCTGGAATTGAACCCACACCTGTGGCTTCCAGCCAAACAAAAGACAGGCATATGAGTTGAACATTTACCTGAGGTAGATACCCTCCTTGGAGAGAACAATCATGGGAGAAAGAAAGGCTATGTATGCACAGGGAGACAGCTCAGGGGGCAGGAGAGCGTGGAGGGATGGACACACGGAAGAGGTAACTATCAGGAGAAAGTGGGAGGCGAGCTGTTGCATTGTGGTAAATTGTGGTCAATGTCATGAGACAAAGTGTACGTGAACTGCTATATGGAAAGTGAATTTGCTCTGTAAACTTTCACCCAAATCACAAATAAATAAATAAATAAATATTTAAAAAATAATAATAAATTTAAAAATGTGTTATCATGTGCATTATTTACATAAGAATATGATAGATAGTGACGATGGCTCCAAATTTCTGTGAATATAGTAAAAACCATGAGATTGTACACTTTGTAAGAGTGAATCTTATGGTATGTGAATTATATAGCAATAAAACTATTACTTAAAAAATTACTTTCACATAGAGAGTTACATGGGCAGTACAGACAACAAATATGAACCCCTTTGCATATACAATACTGAGTTGTCAGTGAAAGCAAACATGGGTATAGGGACGGATAGATGGGTGAACAAGCTAAACAATTAGGTATGT